TTGAAATAAATCTTTGAGGGTAGTGTCAAATAGAACAACAATAGAAAGCAAACAAATACAATTCAGCATTTGTTTAGCCTTTATAATGTAAGTATCCTCTAGCCAGGCATGGGGGATGGACACACACCTTTAATCCCAGCATTCAGGAGGCTGAGTAAGGCAGATCTTATGAGTTCAAGGCCAACCTGATCTACAGGAGTGATGCTGTGATAGCCAGAGTCACATAGTGAAATGCTGTCTCCTAATAAATCAAAGTTAATAAAATGAATAAATAAGTGACCCTCCCTCCCAGGAGGTTATCACCAGTATGAGATTCACCGACATTTGCATTCATTTCCAAGGATGAAAACTATGAATGTGCTGTAGTTCTGGAGACAATTAGTACACAAGCCAAGGACCTATTAGGTACAGTTCTTTGATGGAGAAGATGCCTGTAATAGTCTCTCCTGATAGTGTCACAAGTTGCTCCTTCATCCTTTGCCTAATCCAGCCTCTTTAGCATCACTTCTCCTCCACCAAGACATTTGGCAAAATAAGTGCTAGGAGGCACCCAACCACAGGCACACAGATCTGGCTTTGTATCCTCTCAGATAAACATAATCTGAACAATAAGACATTGTCTGATGGGTAGGAGGACTGCTTAGTCCAATTTTCTTTTCTGACTGGTTACGGGCTTCATAAGGTTTATTTCTCCCTCAGCATTTTCTTCTTTTTCTGAGCAGATTCCACTGACTTTTGATGTTCCCTCCCATGTGACTTTACACAGAGGGTCCAAAGGTACCCCAGGGCAAGGAAACTTTTCTGGAAATCTCTTTTCTGCAGCCAAGGGTGGGAAGGCTTGGAGGGTTTCTGGATTCTGTGTGTCCTTTAAGCTGGAATCAAGGGACCAGTTTTTCTCTTTGAGAATTGCTATATTCTTTCATTGTAGTGCTCATAAATACGTTACAATGTTTCCTTGATGCTCTAGTTGGAGTTGGAATGCGTTTAGGGTCTCATTTATTGTCTTCATCTTTTTTTCTGTTGTTACAACAGAGTTCCTGAAGCTGGGTAAGTTACAAAGAAGAGAGTCTGGGGCTCACAGTTTCAGAGGTGGTGAGGTTAGGGTGGAGCAATGGTATCTGCTAGCAAGGGCCTGGATCTGCTTCAAGTTGGGGTAGAGAGCAACAGTGCACGCAGGTGATACTGAAGAAAGATGGGGGCTTGGGCGTGCAGCACAGCTCTGTGCACTAACTACCGGCCTTGTGCATGCTAGTCAGGGCTTTATCCTAACGCTACACACACAGCCCCAGGCTCTATTTATAACAGCCTGCTGTTACCCTGTTAATCCATTCCAAGGAAATGAATCTAGTGTCATGAGAATGTTCATAATCCCTCTTAATCTAATCACCGTATAAAGGCCCCAACTCTTAACACTACTAATTGGGTGCCAGGTCCCAGTATGAGCTTGGGCCAGGGCCAATCATATCCAAAGCATAGCACATGACTGCTTAAATCTTAAATTATATAATAATTGCTTTTTTTTTTTTTCATTTACAATCATTTCCACCATCTTTGCTCATTGTAACTCTGTTTTGATCACTGTTATTATTGGTCTTTTATTCTCTTCAAGTCTCTTTCTCAGCCTCATTTATTAGTTCCTTCAATTGATATTTTGTTATGTGTTTACTCTAACACTCACTGATCTAGAACTGGGGAATGTGTTCAAGAACAGGACCGGGTTCCTGGCTTCATGGTCTGGTATTCTAATTGAAAAATGGAAGATAGAAACATAGAATACATAGAAATTAGATCCCATGGAAAGCACTCCATGGACTGCAGCAGTACCGATGGATAGCGGATGATCTGTGAATGGTTATTCCAGGCACTGTGGTCCATTGTGGTCTCTCCCAGAAGATAAAGCTGCTCTGGTTTCTTTGCCTTTTTTCTCAGATCTTTCAGGGTAATTGTGAGCTGCTCCTGAATCTCTTCTTGTCTTCCACACTTCTTACCTGTTTCTCAGACCAACTACCCTTCACCCCCACCCTTCCCACAATACCGTTTACCGGTTTCCCAGTCCTACGTGGCTCTGGACTCTTTCCTGCCTGTCTCATGTTCTTTCATAATCACTTCCAGGAGTTTCTTGAAACAGCTTAGCCCATTCATAAAGAATTTATATCAGTGCTTAAGACATATTTTTAATGTTATTCGTATGTGTTGAAAATAGCTAATTTAGTAATAATTTCTGTATGAACCAGAGGGGTAGCAAACAGGCTTCCTATACCTCTGTGGGCAGCATAAAAGGGTCTGAGGCTCTTCCAGTCCTTCTGCCCTGAACATGCAGCCTACACTTGCCCAAATACCAATTCAATTTTACTTTTGCCTTCATACATAACCACTGTGATGGCTATTCAAATAGAGCCAATGAGGTGATGACCAAGCCTGATGACCTGATTTTGATCCCTGAGACCTACATAGTGGGAGGAGAGAACCAATTCCTACAAGTTGTCCTCTGACCCCCCTCATGTGTGACATGGTATACATGTGTGTGTACCTATGCATACAAACACACATAAAAATAAGCTAAAATGTACCCTATAAACATATATGCCCCATATATCTAAAACCCACTTTATGCTGAACAGTCCACATTAAAATCTGGAATGGAAATGACTCAGAAACAAATCCGCATCCGTTTTCCATGTGACTCAAATTTTGAGCAAACCCCAGACCAACTGTTGTTTATCCCTCGCCATCCGGGACACCACCTTCATTTCTGGGTTTCCTCCAGAGAACTCAGAGCAGGGATTTGCACATAGTCTTCCGTTAAATAAGTAAAACCAACAATGGAGTGGGTCCTAAGATTTTGATTAAACTCCACGCAAAGACTCAATTTCCAGGTTTCTGAATGAGGCCTTTGGGACCATCTGCTGTGCGCGGCCTGTGCCAGCAATCAGCATAATACCTGAGCGGTAATTACTGCTGAACGCTTCGCTGGACGGGAAGGGAAGGGCCAGCTCTGGTAATCAAACATGCACAAATGCTTCAGAATAATTCGGTTCCGTTGCATACAGCATTTGGAATCAATGTCAGCTTTTTAGACACTTTCGTTTTCACAATATGAGGTAGTTTTTATTAGAACAGTAAACACAAAACCGATTATCTGCACAGATTCAAAGGCCTACCGAAGGAGAACTCTACACTCTAATTAAGAACAAAGCACCTAATTGCATGAGATTGACCTTCAGAATCACCCCTTTGTTTTTGTTTCGTCTTAAAATGCTGAACAAGGGGATCGCAGAGAGTGGGGGCCCGCGGAGGAGCCATTTGAGGCCTTAATTAATGGATCGGGTCTGGTAACTGCTTCTGAGCCACACAGGTTAAGCCGGAAGGACGGCAATAGTGCTGTAATTAAGACGCTCAGCTGTTGGTTTTGCCGGCTCCTAGCTGCATTCTGTCTGTCTGCCAAGGCGTGAGGGGGAAGCTCTGTCTACATTTTGGCTTCTCTCCTGCCTTCCCGCCTTCTGATGCCAGCTTCCGGCTTAGCTTCGCCCAGACCCGGTGACGCATCTAGAGTCATCATCTGGGAACTTAAAAGAGAAGGGAGAATCTCTCGCTCCACTTCAAACCTTCCGGATCAGAACTGGCACTTTAGTGAGGTCACATGTCAATATGCAGAACTTAGATGACACTGCGCTCTGGCCTAGCACTGAAAAACCTTGGCTCTCCAATTTACCTGGGGGTGAGGGGATAGGGGAGGGGGTCATGATCATTGGTTAGTATGTGGGAATGAAAATCCCTGGCCCCTGACAGAGATTTCAACTGGGTGAGTCGGGATGGGGCCTCAGAATCTGGTTTTTCTTGTCTGTTTGCCGTTGGCCTGGTTCTGAAGCCAGGCTCAGTCCTGACCTTGACTTTCTACACCGTTTGGTTTTAGCCCAAATCACCAAAGAAAGAAGGAAAGAAAGAAAAGGAAGGAAGGAAGGAAGGAAGGAAGGAAGGAAGGAAGGAAGGAAGGAAGGAAGGAAGGAAGGAAGGAAGAATGAAAGAGAAAAAGGAAGGAAGCCATCCTAGCCACCCTGGAGACTTCATGGAGCTAAGACTCCAGGTAACAGGATACTTTAACACGAAAAGTAAGGTCACAGATGTTCAGCATCAGGTAAGCTCTTGCAAGCAGCCTCTGGCCATCTGAGCCATCTTTGCTAGTGTAGCTGACATGTACGCTAGGAAGTTTTCATGGACACTCTAGCATTAGGCTTAGAAAGCAGAGACCTTGTTTTTCCTTACCTCTGTTCAAATTGAATTATGAGCAAATAAATAAGATTTTGACTTAATAGCTAAGTTTTAGAATGATTTGTTATGCCACAATAGATAAAATCATAGCCAAAAGCAGACAGTATTCTAAGTATGCTGTATGAGATGGAATCTGTAATGAGGAGATCTAAGCACGGAAGTCCCCACTCGAGGTTAATACAATTTGGAAATAGGTGTTGGGCTCTGACTCCAAAGGCTTCCCATGAACAGTCAAGCCCTACGTACCACAGTTGCGCCTCCATTCACTCAGCATTTACAGAGAAACTGCCATGTGCTGGGTACTGTTCTGTGCTCACAGGGCACTTACTGCTAGTGAGGCCTGAGACGCTACAGAAGTACACTGTTGGGTGGGACGATTCCACACATCTGTATAGCTCAGTGGACATTGACAAGCACGCTGGCTGCCAGCCATCTAGTGGAGCACACTCACTCACACTGAAAAAGTATCCATTCCACTAGATGGGATTTGTGAAGATCATAACTAAAGGTGACCAGCTCTGCTAGCCATGCCAGCTCCAGTGACTTTACTGAGGGATTTGGCTCTTCAGAACAGTATCGGAAAGATTGAGAAGAGCTGGGGGTCCATCCCAGTGGCAGCTTCCAGATGAAACTATTGAGAGCTTACTGCCACACAGACTTACACGCCTGCCCTAATTTCCAGCTATCTGTAGGCCCTGCTCTACACATGTATTGTTGGTTTTGTGGGTTACCTGATAGCCTCCTCGCAAATCCCTGCGCTGAACTGGGAAGGGACTGGTTCCGAGGCTTCTGATGAAAAGGCTCCACATCTGAGTTCAGGAGAAGGTCTCTGGGCTAAAGGGGAGAGACTGTTGAGAACCAAGCAAACAATGGTGTCATCTTCTAATCATCCCTAGAAGTTCCATCTGCAGCATCAGAATATGAACAACTGGTATTTCCTCAGTCTTATGCAAAATCTTACTGAAGCCAGCACCACAAGCCATTCTCACAGCAGAGACTGAGGCACAACATCCCAGGATTTCTATGCCTAGCCTTGGCTGTCCTGGAATTCATAGAGATCCGCCTGCCTCTGCCTCTTGAGTGCTGGGATTAAAGGCTTGCGCCACAACTGCCTGGCTTGACTGCTTCCTTTCAACATAGCCTCTTGTGTGACTTCTTCATGAATCTCTGAGCTGTACTCTATACCATCTGGCTACTCCACATTCCCAGAGGGAAAGCTTTGAAACTTTTCTCCTTTTGTTGTTGTTGTTTGATTTTGTTTTGAACCCAGGGCATAGAGCGTGTTTGGTAAACACTCTACCACTGAGCTATGTTGGTGGTCTTAGATCAACTTAAAGTTGAGATAAAGATTAAGCTGTGTTCTACTTGCTTCTTGATGTCAGCACACATGGCCTTGTGGGTCAGGTGATTCTCTGCTGTGTACTGTATGCACTGTGTGGTAACATTCCAGATTCTACCTGATGGCGTCATGAAAATTGCTTTAACAGCTCTCCCTCCAACATCCCCCATTGTTTCCAAAGGTTGGAAATGTTCTCAGGGTAGGGTGGGGAAGTCTTCCTTGGTTGAGGACCACCACTGGCTCAGAGCAAGTAAAAGATTCAGCCCAGATTCAAGGGAGAGAATGGGCTAGCTCCCAAGAAAAATGACTCGCTGGAGACCTGTGAAGGTCAGTATCAACAGACCTGTGTCTCTGATCCTTCCTGTCTGAGGACTCCTGTTCCTGAGCTTTTCTCACATGAGGAGCCATCTCTGGCTTTTCCTAACGGCCCCTTTTGTACCACCTGTCTGAGAGTCCCCCTTTGCCGTTGGCAGTGCTATGCAGCTCTCATGCCTCTTTCCTGGCTTCCTCTTCTGTATCATCCTTGTGACCTGTCAGTTTTTTCCACTCAGGCATGTCACTGAGCTGTTCTTAGTGCTCATATCACAGCACATGACCAGGCTCTGGGGACATGATAAGGCTCCTCTGGCAGCCCCTGCACCCTGCCCCAGAGCTGAACACATGCTGTCTTTCTAAAAGGTTCTAGCCTTATCACCTCCTCCCTTCCTCTCCCTTTTTTTTTTCCCCTTCTCTTAGAGATTCAGTTCTTGGGCCCCTCTTCTAGGAAACTTTCCAGGAAGGACACTCTCCAATTTGATATAACGGTTTCTTGAGGGAGGAGACCATTTCATCTCATCTCCATGTTCCCACCACAGTGTCTACTGCGTGAAAGAGCAATAGAGAAATGTTTCAAAGCAGACTTTAAAACTTGAGAAACTGATAAGAACAGGAGTGAGTCACAATACGACCTAGATGGCAGATTGTAGAGGAAGAGCCTCTGGGCCGGGGGTTGCTAGCTAAGAAGCTGCACCCCGGAGTTGAGTGAGGCTTGGGGAGTGGTGGTGATGTGTGGTTAGAGTTTGGGGGTCAAGGTAAGGGCACCGTGTTTCAGATGGTGAGATGAGGAGCCTCTAGAGGAGTTTCAGCGGAGAGAAATGACTGACATTGACCGCTGTTCTTGGGACCGTCTGTTTCCACAGTCACAAGGCTGGCAGGGAAGAAGCAGCTGGAGTAGTCAGGAAGCTAATGCAGCATGGAAGATGGCAATCTTTTCTGGCAAAGCCAATGGGACGAATAGGAGTTGAGGTCAGAGGGATCACCCCAAGGCTCGAGAACAACAATGGGAGGGCTATGTTCTGACAGAGAGATGCTTCCTGGGTAAGGACATGAAAAGCTTAATATTGCTGTGTTAAGTTTGAGACTCTTGTTGCATATTCAGTTAGTTGTGTCCTAGACAGTTGAGTAGATGAGTTTAAACTGCAGGGGAGCTACATAAACTAGGCATATGAATATGGAAGTGATTAGCTCCATCACATAAGCTGAAGCGAATCTTTGTGATTAAGACTTATAACTGAATACAATGGGTAAATGCAATAGAAGTTTATTTCTCACTGTTCAACAATCTGAGAAAATTCCAAGTCATTAGCAAACTGTGACTAGGTTTTTCATTTTGGAGAGAGTTGGGGAGAAAAACCTGATATAAATGGTTCAATGGAAAGTGATAAGAGAAAGAAATAAAATTGGATACTGTGTGTGAACAGTCTGTTTAAGGGTCTCTAGTTACAAAAGAAGATCCAAGAGCTCTGGTGGTAGCTTGAGGAAGAGCTAGGTCTGAGGCATTTCTGTTGGTGGTTATTTATTTACCACTCTGGGAATCTACCCAGAGCCCCAGGCATGCTCAGGAAGTTCTGTGGTGCTGAGCTATAGCCTCAGCCCCTGGGACTAATTTTTAAAGTTTTTTTTTTAATAGAAAAAATTGGAATATTTTAATGTTAATAGAGAGACAGGGGAAAAGATGGGGGATGCAGGGAGGTGGGGGGCTTTTAAGAGTCTATTTTGAGTATGTAGAGGAAATGCCAAACAGTGAGAGGCTTTAGGCAGGAGCGGGGTGGCTTCTTATCCTTTATGGCGGCAGACTAGCTGATTATGCAGCACAGACACAGGTAAGGTGAGTATCAATTTAAGTTTGCCTCAGACTGAGGATTTTTGGATCACAGAACTGTCAGTGTCCCCTGTGGGACAATTCTAATTACAAGGAATGGCTGGACACCCTAGAGAGAACAAAATGCACAAAAGAAGTCTTAGTTGTTGCTGTAAGCACTGCCAGATTAAAAACAATCCAGAATTTCTCAATGAATTCTCCACATTACAGAGCATTTACACAGTCTGAACCTCAGTGTTGTGCAATGTGTTGGAAATTGCAACGTGTGAATTATAGATCTTAGGTTGGAGGTGCAACTCAATACCACTGAGTGTGTGATGTGTGTGGTCTCCAGGACTTCCCCTCCTCATACAACCAACCAACCAACCAAACAAGTGAACACAATCAAGCTGGAGTTCTTGCTCTAAAAAGAGAGGTATGAACACAACTACATACAAGACAAGCTATGTGTGATATGATGTATGTAAGCCATCTAAGTCATATTCCACATTGTTCAGGATATGCCATCTATAGATAACATTTAGTAAGAGCAGCAAGAAGCAGTCCCTGAAAGGTTACTGTCTCACAGCACCAACACGTCAGTTATCTTTTTCCATCATTACAACAACCCTTTTTAGGTGCCGTGGTTGTTATCTCCACTTCACAATTGAGGGGGAGGAGGAACTTCAGCAGTTTTCTTTAGCTCACACAGGGATTGGTAGAAAAGTCCTTGAACCTGGGTTGATTCCATAGTCTAAACATTCAGACTCCTAGATATTGCTATAATGAACGGGAATAAATGAGTAATGCAAACGGGTACAATACAGGGTTAGAAGAAAGGTTTAGGATAAGTTTTGGTTGAGACGTCCAAAGAAGACTTTAGAAGGAAACATCATCAAATGGAGCATGAAGGAGGTGACAATGTCACTAAGCAGAGGAGAGGGAGCAGGTTAGGTAAAAGATCCATTAAACTAATGTTTCTCAACCTGTGGGTCATGGCCTCATTGGGGGTCCAAATGACCCTTTCATAGGGGTCATCTAAGACCACCTGCATATCATTTATACTATGATTCATAACAGTAGAAATATCACAGTCATGAAGTAGCAATGAAGGCAACTTTATGGTTGGGGTCACCACAACATGAGGAACTGTATTAGGGGGTCACAGCATTCGGGAGGTTGAGAACCACTGCATTAAACTAACTCTTGTTCTCTTTCCTTTCTCTTTTTGGATTGCCAGGTCAGCTTGGCTTTCCTTCCTTTGCCTTTGTATCAGTTCTGGGAGCTGAAAGTCCTGATTCTAGCAGATCCATGTATTTGGCCTTTGCTGAGGGCCTCCTGGCAGATGACAGGAAATCACAGAGTGAGAAGGGAAGACAAAGAGACTAAGGAAGTGCTGGTCTTATTCTGTCATAACAACCTATGTCATGGGAACTGATTATATACTCCCATGAGGACAATTCAAATTTTGTCCAGAACAGTGTCCCCAGTAACCCTATCTGCTGCTCTAGGATTTATCCCTTAAGAACTCTACCACCTCTTACTATATTATAACAAGGACCAAACTTCCATTGCATGGATCCTTGTGGGACACAAGCAAACCATACTGAAATACAGGCAATGTCCAGAAAAGATGTTTAGGGTTTTAGGATGGAATCACAAAGGGATAATTGACTTTCTTGCATGCTGATTTTTCTCTAGATCACTAAAATGGACAGTAGAATCCTACCAGTCTTCAGTGAAGTGAATGAATGAACTTATGACTTAAACATTTCACTTTAATGAATAACAAACGTTCAGAAAAGTTCATAAACAGCAAGTATCTTTGTTCAGTGAACACCTCTGTCTGTCTGACATTCCTCAGATTAAGAAATACAGCGTTCCAGCACCCCAGGAGCTCTCTCATGCTGAATCCAGGTTTGTTTTTCACAGGGCTGTGAATTGAACCAGGGCTTTGTGCCTGCTAAGCGAATGCTCTGCCACTGAGCTACATTCCTAGTTCTATCTGTTGGGGGTTGGTCTGGTGCTATGTATACAAATGCTAATTACTGGACCCCAAGATCTGGTTGCAGTGCAGATCAGTATATTCTCGAATACACAGGGCAATGTTATGTGAACTTTACTACTAAGTTATCTCTGATTGGTTAATAAGGTTGCTGACAGCCAATTACTGGGCAGCATAGTGACAGGCAGAAGTTCTGTTTGGGCTTGGGGTCAGAGGTAGAGACCACAAGGCCAGCATCAGGAAGAGGAGGAGGCAGCAAGAGCAGAGGAAGGAAGAAGATGGAGAGAAAGGATATGGCTTGATGGAGATGGTCCAGCACAAACAGGACTCATATTGGCCAGTAACTTGGGGAATTCAGCTGGGAGGTATAG